TGCGTACAGACGTACGTATGTGTGCTATCGCGCATATTTTACAAACGCATGTATGCACGCTTTCACACACACACGCACAGACACACACACGCACACACACACACACGCGCATACTCACGTGCTGCTCCAGCATGGACAGAATGTGGTCTTGGCCCATGATGGCGCACAGGCGAATGCAATTGACGGGCTTGCTGTCCATCTCCTCCCACACGCACGAGCGCTGTTGCTGCTGCTGCTGCTGCTGCTGCTGCTGCGGTGCTATGCCTGCAGGCACGCTGCACTCGCCATCGTCGCTGTGCGAGTGCGCTGGAAGGTGGTGCGTGGTAGCCGTGTGTTTCCTGTGTGGAAGTGACGCGCACGCAAGGTACTCGTGCATGCAGAACAGGCGGTCGTCGTTGAGGGTGAGCGGGGTGCTGTCGCTGCGTGGGCGCCGCCTGTATCCGTTTGGCGTGGGCATCACCACGTAGCTGTTGGCCGTTGTGGACTGCGACAGCCGTGAGCGCTCGTACTCATCCAGCTCTCCGGACAGCGCAATCGAGTTGCTGTTCTCAGAGCGGGTCGCGCTACTGCCGCTGCCGCTGCCATTACCGCTGCACCCATCAACACTCGCACCCCTCGATAGCGCGTGCACAGCGGCAGCAGCAGAGGCGGTACGCCGCGTGTCGCCCGCCACAGTATCGCCGCGCCGCCGCCGCCTCCGTTGCTCCCCGGTCGCTAGTGCTGCTGTTGTCGTTGGTGGTGTGACAGGGAGCCCTACTCTCCTCGCTGCTGCTGCTGATGATGACGTTGATGATGATGATGATGATGATGGTGTTGGTGGGGTTGATGCTGACCGCTGGAGTGAGTGTGGCCGCGCCGTTGCCGCTGGCGAATCGGTTGGTGCCTTCCTTCCCACAATACCAGCACGCTTCACACCACCGCTGGCACTGCTGCACTTGTTGCTGCTGCTGCTTCTGCTGCCTCTGCTGTTGGTGTTGTTGTTGCTGCCTCTGCTGTTGGTGTTGTTGTTGCTGCCTCTGCTGTTGGTGTTGTTGTTGATGGAGAGGGAGGACAGGCGGGCTAGCAGTGCCGTCGCAGACGGGACGGTGGAGGGCACAGTCGCTGTCGATGTTGCCGGCGATGACGGTAACTGGTGCGATGGCGGCAAAACAACGCGGCCCCTCACAATCGACACATAGTCGTGGATGTGCGACACGTGCATGCTTCCCACGCTCGCAGTTGTGCTGTCGCTGCTGCTTCTGCTGCGGCCACGCCCCAATAATCTGCCACTGGTGTCGCTGCGACCGTGCATGGCGGCCGTGGCAGGGGCGGTGAAGGGAGCTGTCACACTCGAGATGCCAACCGTCGCCGGGGATGACGAGTAATGCTGCATGGCGGCGCTGCTGCTGCTGTTGGTGGTGCTGTTGGTGGTGGTATGGGGGTCGTGTACGCTGGGGTTGTGGTGGCTCTGCATCTGGTTGGTGTTCAGCTCGTGGTTGTTTCCGCCAACGTGGCTGGCGTGCCGGGGGTGAATTGGCATGGGCAACTGCAGGGGTGTTGGCGAAGTGAGCGACTGCCCGCGTCGGTTGGTGGCAGACATGAGCGAGATGTATCCGTTGCTCGCGCGCACGTGCGGAAAAGGGTTCGCATTCAAACCACCACCACCACCACCCTGTGGTGCGTGCTGCTGCTGCTGCTGCTGGTGGTGGTGGTGTTGTTGTTGTTGTTGCTGTTGTTGTTGTTGTTGTTGTTGTTGTTGCTGTCGCGTTGCTGGCGGGGAGGTAGACGAGGTGGCGGTGCACGGCTGTCGGTAATATGATTGGGTCGACGACGATGAACGGATGCTGCTGCTGTCACTGTCACTCGCCCAATCAATGAGACTTGGGCGCGGGATGCGCGCAAGCACGAGAATGGATGCACCAACATCCAGCAGGGCGCAAACGGCCGCCTTGTTTCCGCAGTAGCACGCAACATGAAGCGCTGTACACACACGCACACACATGTTGTGAATTGCACACGCACCGGTGAGAAACGCAAGGGCGACATGCACGTTACAGGTACGCAGAGTAGACTGCACATGCATTCAGAACACGGTTGTGTCACCTACCACACGCATACACACAAGCTCACATACATACGCATACACACAAGCACTCACGTAAACACACACAAGCACTCACGTAAACACAAACACACACACACACACAAAACCACGCACACATACACACGCACACACACACAAAAAAAAAAAACCACGCACATACACACAGAGCGTAAGTTGTTCACGCACGTGTTCGCGATTGCGCCGCGCCAACATTTGGGTCGAGGCCGTGGTCAGAGACCAGGAGGGCAACGATGCTACGCACAGCTGCAGCGTTCACGTCGCCGCGGGCCGTGCACACGGCGTGGAGCGGCGTGTCACCGTATGTGTTGGCGTGTTGGAGCAAACGCATGGGGTCTGTGCACGCGGCAAGCACCTTGCGGACGGCTGACTCTTGCGAGTGGTAGCAGGCATCGTGCAGCAGGGTGTTGTTGGTTACGGGCGACGTGTCGTGCACATGTGTTTGGAGCGGGCGGTCGAGATTCGCCGGCAGGTTGCCGTTGGCACACGCCACGCTCAAGGGTGACAAGCCGCTCTTGTTGTGGGTTACAAACACATCCGTGCGGCCTTTGCACGCGTTCAATAGAGGGGGCAAAACATCGCTGCCCTTGCTGCGCAAGGCGATGTGCAATGGCGTGTTGCCGTGGTTGTCCTGTGCCGCAATGTCGTCGTGCCCTTGCTGCAGGAGCGCTTCAACCAAGTCCTTACGGTTGGCGGCCACTGCCTCATGCAATGGCCACGTCGACCTGATCGCAGCAGGCTCCCTCGCTCCATCACACGGGCCGTCATCCTTGTGTGCATGTGTTTGTATGCGTGTGTGTGAGTGTGAGTGTGAGTGTGGGTGTGAGTGTGGGTGCGTGAGTGTAAGTGAGTGTGAGTGTGTGTGAGTGTGAGAGTGAGTGTTTGTATGTGTGTGAGAGTGAGTGAGAGTGAGAGTGAGTGTTTGTATGTGTGTGAGTGTGAGTGTGTTTGTTTGTTCGCGCATTTGTTTGTTTGTGCATGTGTTCGTATGTGTGTGAGTGTTTGTATGCGCGTGAGTGTGAGTGTGTTTGTGTAAGTGCGATGTGCATGTTGCCAATGTGGTGTATGGGCTGGGCAACCGTGTGTGCACAGGCACAGGAAGCATCTCTGTATGGGACGGTGAAGGAATTCGAGGAAGTAGGCTCGCTGCCATTGCCGAATATGCACTGCAGTCACCCTCGGTATTGCGTGCAATGATGAAGGTTGGCACGCCACAACATGCCCTCTGTTCTTCATCATCGTACCATTTGCATGGGGACAGCTGCTTGGGAAAGTGGAGGCGAGAGGGGCCCTGGAACGAAGTTGGTGGACAAGGGAAGGAAGGTGGCGATGGCGATGGCGATGGCAATGGCGATGGTGGGGGGGGGCACGTGAGTCTCGAGTGGAACGGGTGTTCAAATGCGGGACAGCGCGATGAGTTACAGAAGGATATTGATCAAACCTGCACACAGGCGAATAAGCAGTCAATGAGGAAGGAGTGCACTTCATGAAATGCGACTCACGCGGGGTGGTCGTGCTGGCCGGGGCCGACGATGGAGGCGGTGAGGATACCGAGGATGATGGCGGCGTTTGAAGTTTTGACCTCATGCCTGTGCTGCTGACGTCACGTAATGGGGCAGCCTTGCCGCAGCACATCTTGTGCACATATTGGATACAGACTGGCACCCACGCAACCGCCTCATCTCCACCGCCGCCAAGACGACCATTGCTCGCATCGTGCGCATCCATGCCGTGTGCGCACGCGCACGAAGCTCAAGACACGGTGCGTGACAATGGGGCTTGTGGCTTGTGCACCAGCTGCTGCTGCTGTGGTTGGCTGGTGTGGTTGATGATTGCGATGACGATGGTGATGGTCGTAGCTGTCTTCTTTCGTCTTCCTTCTTCCTCTCGTGCCCAAAAGGTCGGCTTTGTTACCGAATGTTAATCGAAATCTTCAATAAATAATCGAACCAAAACAAATTAGTGTAAAATATGGCAAATGTTCTCCAGCCGTTATGTGCCGCGAAGCATTCAACCAACGGAAGACAACCAACGACTGAGCGAGTGCGTTGTGAGTGTGTGTGGGTTGTGTGAGTGTTTGTACATGCGTGGGTGGTGTGTGTTGTACGTGAGTGCGTTGTGTATGTGTTTATACATAATGCGTGGCCGGTGTATGTGTTGTATGTGTGCTGGATGGCTGGTTTGCTCGCTTGGCTCTGCGGCTTGCTCTACAAAGGCGTTCTCGCCTGTTTCAACCCTCAACACCCCGCCTCTCTTCTTGGTTAGGGTGCATGTCAATTATTGCCACCATCCTGGTCTGAACACTCAGGGATGGCTCAAGCCAAAACCGCTGCGACAGCAGCGCTCACCACCCTCCACGTTGTCGACGCCCCGCCTGCGTTCGTCACCGAGGCGTGGGATCATGCCCTCGTTGACCTCTCGGATCTTTCCGGTTCGTTGCCGGGCGTGTGACACGAGAACAACACAACGACATTTACACACACATACACACACGCACACGCACACACGCACACACACACACATATACACACACACGCACACACACACACACGCACACACACACACACGGGTGGTGTAGTTGTTGCGTTTGGGGTGAATGTGCGACGTTTTGAGAGGTTGTTCACGTTGTCGATTGCGTGGTGATTGCTTTTGCAACACAGAGCCACTGCCCATTGAAGAAGATGTGCACAGCGTCGTGGAAGCCCTCAAGCAACTCGCAAACTCGATTGCAGCCTGGCAAGGGGAAGAAGACGCCTCTGGTACGACGTGTTGTTGTTGCTGCTGTTGTTGTTGTTGCTGCTGTTGTTGTTGTTGTTGTTGTTGTTGTTGTTGGTTCCGTATACTGAGCAGTAACCACGTTTCCAGGTATTTTCCTGTCTCACACGACCCCTTCTTGTTGTCAGACACGTTCTGGATTTTCCTGGCGGAGCAGAGCTGCAGCGTGCGTGCTCTCGTTGCCGTTCTTGCCTTCCACATTGACGCCAAGGTTCGGGTCGTGATGCCATCATCTTTGCTAACCTTGCCATCATCGCTGGCTGCTCGTGCGTGAGCCCAGCGTGCACACAGGGTCAACAGCATGCCAGTTTTTGATCGATCAGAGAGAGAGAGAGAGAGAGAGAGAGAGAGAGAGAGAGAGAGAGAGAGAGAGAGAGAGAGAGAGAGAGAGAGAGAGAGAGAGAGAGAGAGAGAGAGAGAGAGAGAGAGAGAGGTGCAATCTGTGACTTTTTGTCGTCACACCTTCAATTCACCCTCCCCTCCTCGTCATCTTCTCTCGTTCTCCCACCGCCCTCTCCCATCTCACGCTTGCCCCCCTCCTCCCGCTGTCCCTACTGCCAGGATGGCGCTGAGCTAGCGGCTGCGAGCGTGTACCTGCGGCTGCTTCTCCTTCCCGGTGCATCCGCCCACAAGACATACACACCCATGCTCTGCCGCCGCGCCTGCCAGGCCGTTCAAGCCGCAATCCCAACAGGTGCTGGCGCTGTGTGTGTGTGCGTGTGTGCGTGCGTGCGTGCGTGTGCGCGCGCGTGTCTGCGTGTGCAACTTGCATTTGCGTGGTTTATGTAATCTTAATCCATCACGTACTGCCACCACCGGTACACACGCGTTTGCTCCATATTCTCACACGTTCACCCACGCCGCGCGGCTGCAGTGTCGCGATCAACGGGCAGCAGCGCCAAGACGGCGGGTGCTGCTGCTGACGAGGACGTGCGCGTGGCGCTGGCTGTTCTTGCTCGCGTTGCTGCCAGTCCCATCTTCCCGTCCATTGCAGACAGCACCGACATCGTCGTCGAGGTACGGTGCTCCCTGCTCATGCTACTCCTGTGTACGCGTTTGGAAGCATGTATGAGCTTCTGCGCGCACGTGCGCGCGTGATTGGGCGAAGTTCAATTCATGAATTGTTCATCACATATTCATGCTTCACGCGTTGGTCGTTTAACCACACACACACACGCACACACACACGCGCGCGCATACACGCACACACTCGTCTTGACTGCGATACCGTGTCTCAGGTGCTTGCGCAGGCGTCACGCACGTCGGCGCCGACCACCGCCGCCTTGACGCGTGATCAACTCACTGCTGTTGATGACATCGCGACTGCAGGCAGCATCTCCGCCATTGCTTTCGCCGTAAGTGCACACACACACACACACACACGCACGCACACACACACACACACACACACACGCACGCACACACACACACACACACACACACACAAACACACAGTCATGCTTAGACACCACGACGTCAACTGTTCCTCACCGCCCACGTGCATCCATCTCCACACAGGGCCTGTATGCGCTGTGCACGAGGTCTGATATGAGAGACGCCACACGCCTCGTCTTCAAGAATCTGCTCCAAACCCTCAACATGTCTTGGACAAGCGGTGCAGCTGCACATACGACAATGGCATCATCATCATCCTCGTCGTCGTCGTCGTCGTTCACGCAGGCCCAGCTCCGTGTCCGCAACCTTGCCCTCTCGTTTCTGGACGTTCTGTCAACATCGCCGGATGCTGTGGATGTGTGCAAGTATCTCCGCATCATGGGCCAACACCTCTGCACGACTGTTGCCGATCGCGCTGCACACCGCGAGCAGGGCGCACAGGTGAGGAGGTGCTGTTGCTGGCAGACACGGTGGCGTCGTGACACCTTGTGTGTGTGTGGGGGGGGGGGTGACAGTGTACATACACGTGTACGTGCGCTCAAGTGAGTGTTTGGCCATTCCGAGGTCTATGTTTCTTCACATCACACCGTGCACGTCTCACAGGATGTATCCCATCATGCTGCTATTACCACACTCACACTCCGCTCCACTCCACCACCACCACCAATCACCACCAGGCGTTTGTGCATGTGTTGCGCCTGCTGCCTGTGCGCGAGGGTCTGTCCCTTGCGTCGTGGCTGCACCACTTTTCCCGCAGCAGCAAGACGGCCCACCGCACGCTGGCCATTGAATACGTCGCACATGTCCTCATCGTGAGTGCCCTATCGTGCAGCTAGGAAGGGGATGGGGGTGATTGTGATGAGCAGTTCAGTTGTGGTTGTGTTGTGTTGTGGTGGACAACGGTAATGTGTGTGGTACGGTTGTGTGTATGTTGTGGTGTGTGTATGTTGTGGTGTGTGTGTTGTGGTGTGTGTGCTGTGTGCTGTGGCGGCCAGGGGGAGGCGTGAGTTTTGTGGTGAATGTGCGTGCACGTTTGCGTGCGTGGCTAATCTGCGGCTGCTCACCCTTTGCTGTTCGACATGTGTTAGGACACTGCGTTCTGGACGGCGGTGACGAGCAAGGAGGCACTGACCAACACAGCGAACACAACAGCAGCAGCAAAGGCCAGCAGCGGCAGCGATACTTCGTTCTCGCCGGCGTCCACACCTGTGAAGAGCCCATCACAGCAGTCGTCATCATCATCGTCACCATCACTCTCATCGTCGTCCGCTGACGTGCAGCGCAAGCTCGTGCAGCTCATCTTCCTGTAAGACGCTAAGCCGGTGGTAGAGGTGGCGATGGTGTTTGTGATATGTTGAGGATGAATGGAGGAGGTGGTGGGTCGATGTTGTTGATGATGATTGTGAATTGTGGGCGCTGAGAGCAGCTGAGAGCGGCAGTGATGGGGCTGCTGTGGGTTTGTTTGCTGCTTGCAGCACGTGCTGTGTCATGTGTGTCCATGTCTGGTGCCCAAACAACCCTGCTGACGTTTTGTTCTTGTGCGTGCGTGCGCGTTGTGTGTCGCCATTGGTTGGCCACCAGGCGGTGCAGCGACAAGGCGGTGAATGTGCGCGTGCGTGCACTCCGCAGCCTGCGCGACATTGCTGCGGCCGCAGCTATGGCCACCGATGGCCACGATGGCAGCGACGTGAATGGCAGCAGCGGTATTGCCCGCCTGAAGGAAGTGATCTTGCAGCTGTATCGCGAGGCCTCCATCCAGGTGCTGGCGGTAGTGATGGTGGCGTTTTGGTGCTGTGCTGGGCGTGATGGAAGCGGACAGCAGTCGTGCTTACAAGCATGGCAGCCACACACACACACACACACACACACACACACACACACACACACACACACACACACACACACACACACACACACACACACACACACACGCACACGCACACGCACACACACCTTATCACGCGCTCACTCCCTCTTTGGTACACACACGTGCTCACAAACACACACACACACACACCTAATCGCTCACCCACTCCCCCGCTCCCCTTGCATGTGGTTGCCTGTTGATGTGCACTTCAGGACCTGGCGGCCACTGCAAGCAGCGCACTGCTCTCCGCCGCATCCTCGTCTCCTGTGCCGCCACCATCGTCGTCGCTGTTGTCGTCGCACTCCACCACGGACAATGGCAGTGCAGAGAACACGCACCCGACGCAGACACCGGCGCGCGGCAAGAAAGGCAGCCAGCAGCAGGTGTGGGACAAATAACTCAGGCAGCACGCACACACACACACGTGTCATACTATGTACTGAAACGTCGTGCGTCGTTCTCTCTCACTTCTCCCTGAACTTGATCGCAATCGCCCTTCAACCTCACCCATCACCACGCAACCTTTGTCTCCGTGACTACCACCACCACCACCACCACCACCACCACTGTTTCCACCCCCATTCTGTTTCTCCCCACTCCTTCGCATCCTTCTTCCATCTGCGCAGGACACGTTGTCGCACATGCTGCTGCGCCGCCTTGCTGACAGCAAAGGCGCCGTGCGCAAAGTAGCTGTTGCTGCAGCAGAGGCCATTCTCCTCCTCCTCGACTCTCTCACCGCGCATGAGGTGCGGCCAGCATGGTGTTGACGATGAGGGTAGCGGTGGTGATGGTGGTGGTGTTGACGATGAGGGTAGCGGTGGTGATGGTGGTGGTGTTGACGATGAGGGTAGCGGTGGTGATGGTGGGGTGTTGATGATGGTGGCGGCGGTGGTGATGGTGGGGTGTTGACGATGAGGGTAGCGGTGGTGATGGTGGTGGCGTTGACGATGAAGGTAGCGGTGGTGATGGTGGTGGTGTTGACGATGAGGGTAGCGGTGGTGATGGTGGTGGTGTTGACGATGAGGGTAGCGGTGGTGATGGTGGTGGCGTTGACGATGAGGGTAGCGGTGGTGATTTATGTTGGGTGCGGTCGCGATGGCGCCTGTGACGGATCAACCATGCACTGTATGTACACCAACGACTGACATCACCACCACGATCAACACTATCACCACCACCACCACCACGATTACCAGATTGAGTCGCTGACGGGGCGGTGCCGGGATCCTGTGCTCTCTGTGCGGCGCCAGGCCCTCGAGTCTGCACACCGCGTCCTCGCACACCACCGCCACAGCGAAGTCGTCAGAAGGTGTGTGCTTGTGCCGGTGGTGATGCTGGTGGTGATCTTGGCGGAGAGGCTGTGAACGCATGTGCTCTTGCGAGAGACGTTTAGCGTACACGATTGTGCATTTGCTTACTCCGCTGTGCGTGTGTGTTCACACACTGAACCATCATGACACCATGTGTGTGTGTGTGTGTGCCAGGTCGTTCTTTGAGAGCGCGCTGCCGCTGATGCTGGACAATGAGGAAACCGTCAGAACCAAGTACCGTGGACTCATGTTGCTGCTGTTGCCTGGAGAGTGGGGCCTGTGGGAAAGGAGCTGACTGCAGCGTTGGCGGCATGAGTGCTTGCGTCCCATAATGTGTTCTTGCATATCTGCACCTCATAGGTCACACATATTCCCCTCACCTTTACCCTCACACACGACCCTCACCAACCCCACGTTGGCACACAACCCTGCGTCACTTGGTGTGTGTGTGCAGGTGCACGAGCATCGTTGCATCAGTTCTGCTTGACGGCGTGTTGGAGGAAACGAGTGATCTCACAGACAGCCTCCTCGAGTGGCTTGCAGAGCACCCGGAGTACAGGTGCGCGCATGCATTGATGCTTCTTGTGCGTTGGCGGGCTTTGTGGTATGGTGGTATGTTCATGTGGTTGAACGTGTGCATGTGACAGGGGTGTTGTTGTCCTGACGTTTGATTCCATCGGTGGCCCATACCACACACACACACAGACACAAACACTTCTTTATTTGTTGCCATGTTGGCACTCCAAAAACGTGCAACGCTCATCCACACACACACACACACACACACACACACACACACACACACACCTCTCACGGATGCAGGCGGTATGTGCAGCGTGGCTGTGCAGACTGGCAGCGCAACAAGCAAATCACCTCCAAGCACATCAAAGCCCTCTTTAGCAGGGTGGACAACGGAAAGACGGTGAGCCTGTGGGATGTGCGATGTGCGATGGGATGGGGTGAAGCAGAGTGGTGTAGCTTGTTGTGTGCGTGTGCGTGCGTGTGCGTATTTCGCTGCCTGTTGCATGTTTACATTGCGCAAAGCAAGAGTAGTTCTCACCAAATTGCTGTCGGTGCACTCCACATACATGCATACACCCGCGCATATGCATACACGCACACACATACGCACGCACACTCACACACTCACACGCACACACACACACACACACACACACACGCACACAAACACACATATTGCAGGCTGCGTGGTCATTTCTTTCGATTGTGGCGACGCAGGGTGGCATGCTGGTAGACCCTGCGTTGGTGTACAAGTATTGGAGCGAGAGCGTGCTGGAAAACACGTCCGTTTCCAGCGTGATCCTGACCATTCTAAACGCCGTCGGTGATCGCATGACGCAACAGCAGCGGTCCTCCCTCACAGGTGGGACAGAAATGCACGTTTGTAGGATGTATACGTGTTTGATTTGTTTACTTGCGGACGTGTCTGTGTTCGTATGTGTTTGTCTGTTTGGATAAAGTGCAAGTGTGATCATGTGCACGCGAGCGCGCACACTTCCGTTTGCACACGTCGGCTACTGCGTCGTTGGTTGACTGGGCGGCTGGTCGTCATGCTTCCTCATGGGAGTTCTCTCTGCACTGGTTCGTTCACGCGTGTACATTGCCGATGGGCGTTGCAGGCCAACTCAAGCGCCACGTGCTCGGTTTCTCGCTGCCACCGCCTCTCATCGCGATTGCCATGGCCACAATCACCAAGGTGATGATGATGATGGTTATCATGATGATGATCATGACGATCATGATGATGGTGGTGATAATGATGATGATGATGTACTTGATGCATGCCTTTACACTGTGTGTGTGCGTGTGTGTTTGGGGGGGGGGATGAGCAGACAGCCACTCTCCTCTTGCACCTTCAAGTTTTGGTGCATCTTGGTGCGTCTTGATCGTGTTCACTCATTTGATTTGTCTGCGCAATGTATGATGCGGTGTGCTCTCAGTTTGATGCTCTGGACAACAACAGCAAGGAAGGCCTGGCAAAGCGTAAGCATTCGTATTGTTGTTGGTAAAGTTGTCGTTGTTGGTAAAGTTGTTGAAGTTGTTGTTGTTGAAGTTGTTGTTGTTGAAGTTGTTGTTCTTGTGGGTTGGGGTGGTGGCGCGTGATCCAACGCTGCTTCTGCGTTCAAGCAACTCACGTGTAACACATCTTTCGCACACGCACACACACAACCCCCAACATATGGCCCAGCCTCTGTTGAATTTTGCCGGCAGGTGCTGCACAAGTGCCGGGATTGCATCACGACGACGCAGTCGCAGTCACCGGACGAAACAGCCGCTGCCCGCCACATCTTCACCCTTGGTGCGTCACATCATCGCGTTGGTGTCGGTGGTAGCAATGGTCGACGTGGTGATGCAGGTTGTTCTTCGAAGTCAACATCAATGTGTCACATGCGTGTGTGTGGGCCTCGTTCGTCCTTGTGCGCGTTTCCTTGTCCTTTGCAACCCTGACACCTTGCATCACGGGTATGGTGTGACGTGCTGTTGACCTGCGAGCAGGCGAGGCTGCCATGGTGTGTCCACAGAGCGTGGATGACGCGCTTGTTCTTCCGCTCCAAGCAATCATCGCCCGCGCAGACGTACGTTGGCGCAGTGCGAATGAGTGAGAGTAGGAGGGAGTGTGTGCGTGTGTGTGTGTGCGTGTGCGTGAGAGAATATGTGTGTGAATGTGTGTTTTGCTCGTGAGTGTGCCTCGCTCCCGTGATTTTTCGCCCGACTCTACTTGACTTGTACCGTTGTCCGTGTGGTGAACTGATATGTGTAGAAGGAACGCAACCCCATTTTGCGCGCACACGCGTATCTCGCGCTCGGCAAGGTGTGTCATGTATGTGTGTTATGTGTGTTGTGTGTGTGTCATGTGTGTGTGTGTGTCGTTCGTCTGTGTGTATTTTGACGGGGGTTGCTGCTGTTGGATGCAGCCCTGGTGACACCATATGAAGTGGACGATTCAGTGTTCTTCCTTCTCCCGCTTATCAATGCTGGTGAATTTGTATGTGTGTGTGTGCGTGTGCACGTTCGTCTATTTGTGTGCGTCTATTTGTGTGCGCCTATTTGTGTGCGTGCGCGCGCGTGTGTGGTTCAGGTTTGCCTGCAGCGAGAGGAGCTGGCCAAGACGTGGATCTCATCCATGGTGCGGCTTTGTCGTGGCTGCCATTGTCTGTCGGAGGCAGATTGCCTACTGACACTATCGTTATCTTGTCTGAGGGACACATGAAACACCACCAACAATCCTATCCTCACGTCACACAATCACCACCACCACCACCGCTCACAATGCTATTCTCACCACCGCGACTGCCCCCACGATGGCCTTTGCTGCGATGTGACAGGCGCGGGAGCTCGACGAGTGTCCAGATGCCGCCGTTAGAAACAACATCGTTGTCATCATGGCCGATCTCTGCATCAGGTGATGCACTGATGACACTGGCTATGCTGTGCGTGCGTGTGTGTGCGTGTGAAGGGTTTGAGGGGTGTGGCAGGTCATGGCGCTTGTGAGGGCGCTCAGAGAGAGAGAGAGAGATAGACAGACAGAGAGATAGACAAAGAGAGATAGACAGACAGAGAGATAGACAGAGAGACAGAGAGAGAGAGAGAGCTGTTGTCGTGTCGTGGCAACTTCATGCATGCTTGCACGGCCACATGTCCTCACGTTGTAGCCGAGTATGCGCCACCCGACAGGTACACAACGTTTGTGGAGCGGTACATCCCGACGCTGGCCGGCTGTCTTCGCGATGAGTCACCACTCGTCCGTCGCCAGGCTCTCATGCTCCTCACACGGTATAAACGCCTCAGCACCTGTGTGGCGAGGGTTCTCCTCCGTTATCCATTGACATGTGTTGAAGTGTTGAGAATCCTACGCCACGATGCGATCATGTCAAGAGCCCCTTTATTAATCCTCTGTATGCTCTTTTCGCCGCCACGAACAACCACAACAACAACAACAACAACGATGTTGCTTGCGTTCAGGCTGTTGACTGAGGATTACATCAAGCTGAAGGGCGTGCTGTTCTTCCGTCTGCTTGTCACCCTCGTTGATGATGATATGCAAGTCAGGAACCTTGGTCAGTTCATATTCGATCTGCGTCAAGACACCAACCCATACATGTGTGCAGAGTGACGGATGTAGATTGCCCTCCTCTCTTTCTGGGACTTGAGAATCAACCGCCGTGGCAACTGTGGCGCTGTTGAAGTTTTTTCTGTCACTCTCTACTGTTCCTGTCACCTTGTCGTGCTGCCTTCGCCACCATTTCACTCACGGCCGCCTCCCCCAATTGTGCCTCTTGTTCGAAACAGCCAACTTCTGCCTCATTCATCTCCTCTTCGCCCGCGACCCAACCATCTTCCGCGCGGTACGTCCATGCACATACATGCACTTGTACACGTGCACACATGTACATGCACAGGTATGCATGCTGGTGACGGAGTCGGCAAAGCGTTGCATATGAGCACATGCCACGTGTTGGTCTTAACCGTCATCATCAAGCGTTCTGGTGGATGGGATTCGCCTTTCCCGTTCAGCGACATTGCGTATCTAACCCACTGCTGGCCCATGGAACAACCCACCAATGGCACACGCTGACAGCACTTTGTTGAGGCTGTGTATCACCTCAACGACCACCGCCAGCACCCGACCTACAACCGCCTCCCCCAATCCGACGCAGATCGTGCCCGCTTCAACTTCACCGTGCGTTAAAACAATGCTTGCAGGCACAGCGAGTGCCCTTTGTTGTGTCGTAGTTTTGGTAGCCACACACACACACACACACACACACACACACACACACACTGGATGGAAGGGCGGGTGGCTTGTGAGGCATTGTTGGTGGCGGGAGGTGGGTGGTGAGACGGCAGCGTGTGTCATGTTTTGTGTTTGCCGAAGAAGCGATGGCCTTGTTTATCTTCACGCTCACACGCAACATGGTTGTGCACATGTCCATGCATGCGCGCACCTGTGCCCGTGTCACCAGGGTGTTGAGAACCGGACCAAGCGCGAGTACATGTATCGCATAATGCTGCAGCACTGCACTGATGTCGACAGGCTCAACATCACACAGGTCAGGCACTCAGCATGTACGCACTCAGAGGAGGCACTTGCACGCGCGCACACACACACACACATTCACCTCTCCCTTGTTTTACTGAGGCATTACTTTACCTGTGCGTGATCATGAGCAAGGGGGTGTGTTCGACGCGGGTGCTGAAGCTCACTATACCATCATTCTGTGTGCGCTTGTGCGTGTGCGTGTGTGGGTGTGTGGTGGATGTAGGACCTGTGCCAGGGTGTGCTGAACGCCGTTGCAGATGAAGAGCTCGAGTTGAACTCTGAAATGCAGAATGTTCTCACGGACGCCCTCCTCATTCTCTCGTCAAAGGTGATCATGATGATGGCAGTTGTTGTGCATGGTGGTGGTATTGTGGTGGTCGTGGCGGCGGCGGCGGTGGTATTGAGGTGGTGTGGTGGACAACAGTATGCATGCCAACCGTCAACAAATTGGAAGGTTTGTGCATGGTGTTGTTCCTCACACACACACACACACACACACACACACACACACACACACACACACACACACACACACACACACACACGCACACACACACACACACGTGTCTGTTGCGCGTTTTATGTTGCTGAACAGGACATCAAGCTTGGCAAAGCGACAGACACAAGCGGCGACCTGGAGGACGAAGAGGACAAAGCATCCGGAAAGGCAGCTGTCAAGGCCCAGCTCATTTCAAAGGTGCGTTTTGCGTACTGATGTGTTTGCTCGTCTTCTCTGAAAGTCGCATTTTCTTTGAGGTGTGGGTGGCCGAATTGTGTGCAAGACATTCTTGTTGTTGGCACATGCATTTTCACACACGCACCCCAAAACAAATAAAACCCCGGCAGATTGCGAAGAAGAACCTCGTGCAGAACATACTGCCGATTGTTGTGCAGCTGAAGAATGCGCTGGACCGCAAACGCTCGCCGCTCCAGCGAAACATCATGCTCTACCTGCGCGAAGTGATGGCCGACCACAGGGACGAGGTTGAAGGTGAGAAACGGGTTGTTGTTGTTGTTGTTGTTGTTGTTGTTATTGTTGTTGTTGTTGTTGTTGTTGTTGTTGTTGTTGTTGTTGTTGTTGTTGTTGTTACGGGCGGAGTGTGGGCATACATTATTTGCGTACGCGCGTGTACGTGGATACTGTGTTGCGTGTATTTTGGATTTGAAGACAGGAATGGATGACACGTGCATACAGGTGCTGTGGCACGCCCTCATGACTGTTGTGTTGATGATTGCATGCGCTGTTCAGAGTTGCTGAGTGCAAACCAGCAGCTTGCACGCGAGATCAAGTTTGACCTGGAGCAGTTTGAGAAGGAAGCTCGCAGCCGCCGCGTGTCTGTGTACGTTTGCATGGCAGTGCTGGACGTGGCTAACATAGCGGTGGCGATTGTGACAACCGCGATGAGCACAACAGGAAATGTGTGGTCATGACAGCTCAGTCACACCACTGCACTTGCTGCGTGCATTCACAAACTACTTTGCTCCGCCCCCTCATGTGTGTGCCCACCACCACCACCACCACCACCACCACCACCACCACCACCACCACCACCACCCTGTTCAGCATGTCGCTTGCTGCCACGCCGTCTCGCATGACACCGCGTCTTCGCTCGGCCTCCACCGCACCGTCACCGTTCCTTGCGGGCATGGACACGCCAAACTTCAAGGCACCACGTCTCCGCACACAGCAGTCTGGCCTGCGCCGACAGAGGTCCGCATGCATATGTGCGTATGTGTGTGCACGTGTGTGTTGGTTGATTTGTTGGTTGGTTTGTTAGTTTGCTTGCTTTCGTGTATGTGTGCGCGTGTGCGCGCAATGTTATCCATCTCTACTGCGCTCTCTGCACGCTCATTACTCGTGATGTTAACCCATGTCACTGTGCCACCGCCAGCCGCTCCGACCCTGCGCGTACCCCGCTTCGCAGCAGCACCTCTGCAGCCGCGTTCACGCCAGTCGCCATGCGTGAGTTGGACATACAGGGGCGGCGGTCGTGTACCTTCTCTTGTTGGAATGTGGATGGCGATGACAACAAATGACACACAGTGCTCGCCATTGAATCGTTGACACACACACACACACCCCATTTTCGTCGTGTTTGTTGTGCATGTCAAGCAGGTGGTGAGCGCGGTCGTGGCGCCACTGCCGGCATGACCACGCCGCTGCGCGCCAATCCGCTGGCGTGGGTTCGCACCCCGGCCTCGAAGCTCGCGTCCAGTAAGAAGCCAGGTGTGATTTGCGTGTGTGCTTGTGTGTCTGTTGCTTGCGAATGTGGGTGAGTGAATATGTGGTGTTTTCCTGAGTGCTCTCTACCGCAATGCGTCCACCACTCACCGCGCCACATGATTACCGCTGCCGCCATGACCATCACCTCCTCAACACATCATCAACAATCGCAACAACAGGTGCTCGCACTGCCTCCACTGCCACAGCAACGGCAGCGCCGGCGGCGAACACAACTGCGGCGACCAAGGCATTGGGTCGCCTGTCCACAGTTGATGACGTGGAGACAGACGTGATTGTTCTGGAGAGCCCAGCGGACAACACCAGGTGTGTGTGTGTGTGCGTGTGTGTGTGCATGTGTGCGATGACAAAGGATTGGGATAGGGAATAGCGCATACGTTGTCTGGTCTACGTAACGATGGCGGCATTCAGCCCTTGACCCATGTCAGTCGCTAACAGCATGCGCTTGCACACACACACACACACACACACACACACACACACACACACACACACACACACACACACACACACACACGCACATTCACACACTACAATGCACACACGCCAGGGTGCGCCGCGCCGTGTCAAAATGGCCGCTGCCACCGCCCGTGTTCAAGACACTGAGCAGCAGCAGCGATGATGATGATGGACAGGCGAAGAGTGCAAACGCCAACACCACCGCCATGGATGAAGAGGAGGAGGTCGACCCACTGCTCTCTGAGGTGCAATAGCACCATGCAGCAATGGTGGCGAGAGAGTTTGTGTTTGTGTGCATGTGTGGTTTTGTTCGTTGGGTTGTGGCAGCTGTTGTGTTGAGTTCTGTTTCGTTTCGTTGCGTCGCGTTGCGTTGCGTGCCCCGGCTCACATGCTTCTTCTCCCCCTCTCAACTTCCATGTGCGAGTCAACCAGACGCCTATGAAGCGCTCCAAGGAAGTCACTGCCTGAGCCACCGCGTGTGTGCGTGTGTGCTTGTGAACGTTCACATGTGTGTGCGTGCGTGTGTGCGTGTGTGTCTCTCTCTCTCGTTGAGGAACACACAATTGCTGCTTTTGTTGAATTTGAATTGCCATGCCTTCCTACCGTTGACTTTCTGCATTTCTGTTACTGCCTAACTGAGCCAACTACCACCACCACCACCACCACCACCAGCGCGAGAGACACAATACTGTTCCTAACCTCCCTCGCCCTTGTTTCGTTGTCCTTTTGTCATCGTGTTGCGTTTTCTGTTGCTGTGTTTTATTGGAACAACACGCTCTTCCTTCCCTTCTCGCGTTCTCTCTGTTTGAGGCATCAATGGGTTTTGATGGGCCATGTAGATGCTGGTGCTGCCGTTTGTGTTTGTAGAAGTGAATGTACGACAGAACCAAACTCGCCATTGGCAAGGAGCGCAACCGATGCGCGCGCACGCACACACAGAAAAACACAACCAACCAACCAGCCGACACATACACACACAACACACAACACACAACACAACACAACACAACACAACACACACGCACACACACACACACACACACACACACACACACACACACACACACACAAACGCGAGATCACGGGTGAGCAGCGGATCAAGCCGTGGACTCGTCGCTGGCCGCGTCCTCCTTCTCCTTGAGCAGCTTGATGCCCTTGTACAGCGCGCAGATGATCTCCGCCTCCGTGATGCAGAAGCGCGCGCGTGGCGAGATGTCGCACACACCGCCCTCGCCAATCGGCGTGTGCTCTCCGCCAATCCCGCGCACACTCAGCCCAAGCGGCTTGCACACCTCCTTCGCCTTGGCATCTGTCCCGTCAGCCGTCAGCTTCGGAAGCCCAATGTGCACGCTCGCGCGCATCCCCGTGCCCAGGTTCGTCGGGCAGCTCGTCACAACGCCGTAGTCTGGCGACATGGCAAACGACAGGCCCTCAATCCCGCTCACAACATCAAGCGCCGTCTTGAGCCGGTCAAACACGTCGTTCAGCACCGTGCCCTTCTTCATGCACATGATGCGCAGGTGGTCCTCCTCGCCAACCCAGATCACAAACCCGCGGTCCTCAGACACGTAGCACCCGCGCCCGTACGGCCAGTCAGACGCAATGCCCGCGCTCGCCAGGTACGGGTCTGCCGCCATGTCCTTGAACATGATGTGGTCCGCCACCAGCTGCTTGTACTCCTCGTCGCTGATCTTGTCCGGGTGCCCGGGCGTCAGCGAGTTGTACCCGCCCCCGTACTCGGGCATTGCCTTGAGCTTCTCAAACGCCTCGCACATCTGTGTGCCATGTGTGCCATGTGTGTGCGATGTGAGTGATGTGTGAGCGAGCGAGGAAGAGAGTGGGGTGGGGGCGAGGTGAAGCAGTGAGGGCTCACGCATCAGGGTATGAACGCACACGCATACACACATGCACACACACACATGCACACACACACATGCACACACACACATGCACACACACACACACACACACACACACACCTTCTTCTCGAGGCTGACGCGGTCCTCCTGCGTCATGGCGCCTGGCAGTGGGAAGTCAGCAAGGTTGCGTCCAACGCGCACGCGCATGCTCAGGGCTGGCAGCCCAAGTGCCGCAAGGTCGAGCTTGCCGCCCTCAGGAAGGCCCTCAACCCCAGACAGGTCCCAGCTGTTCACGTGCTTGGCATCCTCGGCAACGCCGTGGTAGTCCGCAATCACCTTGCTGAAGAACGGCTTGAACCGGTCGTAGTCCGCGGGCTGCATGGCGTCTGTGTCGTGCCGTTGTGCACGT